GATTGTGGTATTGCAACTTGTATGTTTTATTGTTTTGTAATTGATGCATCATGAACTTACATCACACAGATTTAAGGCCTTCTGGATTGTGGTAGCAACTTGTATGTTTTATTGTTTTGTAATGGATGCATCATGAACTTACATCACACAGATTCAAGGCCTTCTGGATTGTGGTACTGCAACTTTATCATCATTAGCTTCTGGAGTTGTGTCATACAACTACTCCAACTCGCAAATAAAATTGGGAGCCCGATTTAAAAGCCCAAAAAACCCCGAAAATGTAACCCGAATAAAGAACCCGAGTTTAGCCCGTGTTTTAAAAATTAAGTATGGGCTGGGCTTGGCTCAGTAGGTGAAATTATACCTGGGTTTGGTTTGGGCTTGGGCTGAAGGTTTGTAGGTTGGGCTGAGCCTGAGTTTAGTGTCTAACCCGCCCAACCCGCCCGAGTTACAGCCCTAATATAAATACATATTATATATATATATATATATATATATATATATATATACATAATATTTTATATGGTGTGTGTATGCGTGAATTATCTCTTTAATTTACTTTAAAGGAATGTTACGCGACTGCCCATTCACAGTCTCCAGTTATGATTGGTTAGTTTTGAATGCATTTATTACTTTAAATTTTTATTTTTATGGACTCTACCAACATTACTTTTTGAACAAAAATACCCTTTTAAATTATCTAAACTTTCTTCTTCTCTCTTCTTTTAATCAAGTATGTTAGTTATGTGATAGGATAATTCATTCAAAAGAGATGGATGGATTCGGAAAAAAAATAAAAGGAAGAAGAAAAAAATCCAAAAAGAATAAAAAAAAGGTAAAAAAAAAAAAATTGATTATATATTTTTATTTTTATTTTGATTATATATCCAAAAATTGATTATTTTTATTTTTACAACTATCCTTGTATAAATGGATTTTTTTTTTTTAAAATAAGGAAATAAAAGAAAAGGAAATAATTCCTTAACCAAAAAAGAAATATATAAGTATATTAAACTAATTTTGTATATATATATTTTAAATCTCAGAATCTATCTTATTCTTTTTCGGATTTTTTTCTATCTTTCTTTTTTTCTTTTTTCTTAGGATCCATTTCTTGTGAATGGATTATTCTATCTAATTTTTTTTTTTCCTTTTTCAGCATCCATTCATATCACATAAGTTATTATTATTATTATTATATATTTATATATATTACACACATACGCACACATCCTTATATGAATCGATTAAAAGAGGAAATAAGAAGAAAGTCATAATTTAAAAGAGTATTTTTGTCTAAAAAGTAATGTTAGTAGAGTCTATAAAAATAGAAACTTAAAATAATAAATGCATTCAAAACTAACCAATCATAACTGGTGCTGTGAATGTGCAGTTGCTTGCGTGACTGCAATTAACACTCCTCTTTACTTTATTACTTTATTAATTCTTGGTGGGAATGGAATGGTCATTCCTTAAGAATAGCCATTCCACTTTTAATATTACACACCAAATAAGAGAATGAAAACAAATGCATTTCATTCCACCTTCTTCACTCACACCAAACATAGTCTTATATCCCATATATGTAAAAAGATATATTAGTAATTTGGTTTTTATTTTATTTTATTTTTTTATTTTATTATTTTTTTTATATTTTATCCCAACAAGAATACCTTATTTCCTTATTGCTGTCATTTTTTATTTTTTTCGAACTATCAATTCCTTTCTTTTATCACCTGTGCATCCAAAGAGATTAATGCTTTGCAAGCTTCGTTATAGCAAGGAGTCTAGAGCTGTTGCTGCTGCTTGGAGCCTTCCGAGCAATTTTAGTTTAGTAAAGTACAACAACACCTCCTAGGTTTGCTAAAAGGACGTCTAGATATAAGTTACTCCATTTTGGGACAATGACACCCTCTCGTGATATTTGCAATTCAAACAAAGCCTTAAAACATATAAAAAGTCCACTTTACCCTTCACCATTTTATTAATTTTAATTATAAAATATCAAAATAATTAAATAACCAAATTACCCTTCTCATAGATATATAGATATATATATATATATATATATATAACCACACAGACGGTGCCACCGCCCATCTTCCCCTCCACCGCCACCACCACCCATCTTCCCACCCATCTAAAACTACCGATATAGTACGAAGAAGAAGAAGAGAATGCCTTGACTTCTATTATCTGATAGTGCTCACGTTCTAATTAAATCAAAGAAAAGCGCCTGTTGAGTGATAGATTCTTCTCAAGCTTTCTGCCCCCATGGATCCAACCCTTACCCTGAATTTCAATTTGCCTATGAGGCTGTAAACAGTGAAAGTGAAGAAATTCACAAAATTCGCTTCTAACAAAACAATGATGGGAGATCTGAGCAAGGATAAGAAAATGAGAATCAGAGATGCGCACCAAAGAAGAGCCGAATAGGAGCTCTCTGCCACCGCCACCTCCTCGATGGTCATCGCCTCCGCGGGAACAGAGTTTATTGATTTTGGTCTGTCGGTGGTCATCCCCTCCGCGGGAACAGAGTTCATTGATTTATGATGATGATGTCGAGAAGGGTTTTGAGTCCGATCGGTGATTTATGTATGCACAGTCGGACGGCGGAGAGAATTGCCGGAGTTGAGTCACTGCGTTTCCTCCTTGCGTCGCCGGTGCGGTTCTTCCTTACCGCCACCGGACTCCTTGCTCGAAGTTCAGACGAATTGGTTATGAGGGATGGATTGGAAAGGGACACAAATTTAATTTTGATTTCTTGGTACTAGAATTGGTTTTGACGAATGATTTGTGTAATTTTGCCGTATATGGAGAGAGGCTTTTTTGGGTTTGGGTTTGGGTTTGGTTTGATCCAAGAGTTTTTAAGTCAATAAAATGTTAATTTTTTATCAAAAGGTAATAAAGTTAATTTATTATTATTAGAATTTTTTTATTTATTTTTTTAAACTTGAAGGAGTGTCATTATCCCAAAATAAAATAATTTGTATCTAAATGCCCTTCTGACAAACCTCATTAGGTGTTATTATACTTTATCATATTTTTTTTTTTTGTTACCCCTTCAGATTTGATTGGAAATTGTGTTGGTATAACTGACATGATTGTGGGCTTTTGGGTTTGCCATTTTATTTGTTTTGTCTCTAGCCATTTGGGCTGGGACTTTCAGTTTTTGTAAATGCTTTGACAAGGTGATCAAATCGGTCTAAATGTAATTGAGACTTTGTGAAAAATACCATTCTATTGTGATGGTAACATTATAGCATAGGATAAAGTGCCTCCAAACCGTCCAATACAAAAGGATTGAAAGTATGGTCCGTCGTATCGTTGAATATGTTATTTTTTTTTAAATTTGATACGCGACACGTGTCCTGACTTTATCCAAATCTGTTATACCGTTACCACAACCGATATCGTAACCATAATCAATAATGCGAATTATTTCACACTCTAATTCTAACTTAGTCTTCCGAATAAGTGTTAAGTATATATTAATATTAATAATAATGATAAATAATTCAAAAGTTTATTAAGTATATATTAATGGTAATAATAATGATAAATAATTTAAAAATCAAAAATATTTCATTGATTTATGAATAGAGAATGACATCATTCCCTACTTATATAAATTTAGCCGGATTTCATACTATTAAAGATGTAGCAAAGTACTCGTGGTGGGAAAATTTCCCACCAATTTGCTCAATCCAACAGGGCTGGCAATGCACCAGTTAGAGCATGACAAGTGTACAGGCCAGAAGGAGTGGGCAATAGTGGTGACACGTGGAGAAGACCATATCAATAGTGACACATGTAACAAAGTAGTAAAGTTACATACTGCAAAAGCTGTGCATTCAATAAGCAAAAGTATCATTGCAAATAGTGCAGAGATCATAAAGTAAAAATGCTCCCGATTCATAAAACTCTCCGTTTGAGAAATAAAAATAACAGTAACGAAAACGCAATTTTTGTTTTTCCAATAAAAAAATTCCTGACTTGAGCACATTTGGTACATAAAATCAAAGATGAATAAGCCATCTTTGCTTTGTTCTCTCTCTTTGTAATGCACCAGGATACAAACAGACAGACACTAAATATTTGTCCATACTCAAGTAGAGTTCGTTTATTAAAAAGTGTTACTCGTATTATTAAGGAAATTATGAGCAGAGAAGTAAAGAAAACAGTACCCCGACAATGGTGAATTGTTAGTTCTTACTATCAAGAAAAATAATGATTATTCACTGGCTGGGGACTTAGAGAGGGCAATTGCATCCCCAATTTGTTTTTTTTTTTTTTTTTTTTTCCTGACTGTGGTATCAATATTTTCTGCAAGTGAAAAAAAAATTTCAATAAATATTTCAAGAGTAACGCCCAATAAAAACACCATATTTCTTTTGATTTTATAAAAAAACAAATTGATATGGTTTGAGGTACTAGATTCTCTATTGAGCACTTTCTCATGAGAACCTAAGCGGATTTTGACTTTTTGGTTAATCAGCAGGGGTTATTTGGTCATTTTATATTCATAATTTTTTGGATTAAAACGTTATTATAGACTGAAGGGTTTTATTTTATTTTTTTTTTCCAAGAAAACTTGAATCCTGACATTTTACTAACTTCAAAGATGTTTTCTTGTAGGTTTCTCTGAGCTTCCATTTAGCGGTAGTTAAAGGAGATTCATTACCGACCTTAAACTAACCCCTAAGGTCTTGGGCTACTGTAATTAAAATCAGAAATCAGAAAATAGATTGACCATAATTTTGACAAAAACTTCAAGATGAGGGTGCAAATTGTAAATTTTTGGCATATTAATTAGCAAGGAGATGCAAAACGGCGGCGTTGAAGGCCGTTAATTACTAAATGGCATCCATGGTCACTTATAGCCGTTATGGAAACAAAAGACACCTCATTCCAACAGTCGTCGGCTCCCTCTTTTCAAAATTTCGACCGTTAGAATCCCAACGTTAATACTACTCTCTTCACTTCCCACTCTCATTTTGCGTTCTCTCTCTCATCAACCAAAGGAAAACAGTTTGCGAGGAAGAAGAAATCTGACATTTGTTTTCCCCTCTCTTCCGTTCCGCTCCCCTCCTCCCCAAATTGTATTTTCTCTCTCTAACCATCTCTAGATTCTCTCTCTACAAAGAAAGCTAAACCGAATCATCAATGTCGGTGGTGGACGACCCAAGCATGTTTATGATCGACGAGACCTACGAGTTCTCGGCGCCTCGATTCTTTGACTTCATCGACGGCGAGTCCGAAGAGGATATGCGCAAGGCAGAGCTCTGGTTTGACACCGCTCTTAGCTACGCCCCATCACGTACGTCTTAGGCCCCTTTTCTTGATCACTATCAAATGTATTTCTTGAATTATATATAAAAAAAATAATCGATTTCTTCAAAAAAAATTAATTTTTAGGTCTTTTTCTCTATATTTTTCTTGAATTTCAAATTAGATCATCATGTTTTGATTGCAATTTATTAGGATTTTAGGCATTCTGAGTTTGTTAAATGTGAAATTAAATATGCATATTTTGATCGGAATATGCTCCGATTTTATTCTTAGATTTAGGGTTTCGAATTAAACTATCTTCAATCTGGAATAAGTTTAGAAAGTTTTAATATTTTGTTCAAAAAGCATGAGATTTCCAATTACATGAACTAAATTGCAGACCGTAAATTTCTAGGGTTTTTACCTTAAAGGTGTTTTTTTAGTTTGGTCTGATGTCAATTATAAATGTTTTAGATTAGGGTTTTCTATAATTTCTCTGAAATCTTAGATTATTTGGAGATATGTGTTGTTTTAAGAAAGGAGTTATGCTTTGTATTATCAAGCTTAGTTGAGTAAGGACTCAGTTCCTAAAATTAGTAAGCCTAGGGTTTCTGCCTTTTTCATTATTTGCTATGATTCGAATGATAGCTGCGGGTTTCTGCAGTGGTAATTGCTTTAGAGTGCATTAATGAAGCATTTGGAGTGAACCCTAGAGATCAGTTTTATTAGATTTGCTAATAGGTGAGGCTGACAATGTATGAAAATTTCTGTTCTTGATTAATTGGGAGGTTCATAAAATTTTTATTTTTATTTTTTATTTTTTTCTTTCTAAATGAAAGTCCTAGGATACCAAGTGAAACCTCTATTTTTTAGCATTATAGTTATATGAAACTTTACTTCATAAGATGTTGGAGAATCGCAGATCCATTGTCAGTGGATTTTCAATAGTGACTTGTGTTTTTTTGGGTCAAATGACTAATTGAAATGGATATGATGTTGATGAAGATGATATGCATGTTCAAGATAAGGGTTGACATTTGATCCTTTTTTTTTATTCATTGAACTATTACAGCTTTTATGCCAAAAATTAAGGCAGGTAGATCGGTTCAGCTTGAGAGCCTCTGTGATTTTACTGAAGCCGAGCATTCGCAGAAGGTGACACCTCTTTTTCATATTTCATCTCTCTTGTTTAGGACTTAGATGACTCACCTGTGCATCGAAATGATGCATGGAGGGAAAAGATGACAATTGACTGAAAATATTATGCAACTATTTGGCTGCAGCCATCAGAAACAATAACTATAGTAAACAGCGCAAAGGCATCAATTTTAGAGCCGGAGAAGGAAGATAAAGGGTCAGTGGATCACCATTCTGTGGAAACCACCATTCTGATGCGAAGTTACTTGATTTTTTTTTTTTTTTTTTTTTCTTCTTTTGTAAACTGAAAATATGTTATGGTTTACGAAACAGGCCTCAATCTGAGTCCATTCCTGCTGAAATCTGTGAGGATAAAGTAAACCCAAATCAGGGTAAAGAAGAACTTAGTACCAGCATCATTAATCCGGTATGTTAGTACATACATTAAAGTTAAAACAACTATTCAAAAATCCCCTGTTAGAAATCAAATCACCTATGGTGTTTTGGGTTCCGTTTCTTATCATGTTTCACAAACCTTTTAGGTCCCTGCTGATAAGAAGATTTGTGAAGCCAAGGAGGGTGCATGCACTCAAACTCAAGAAAATGGAAGGTCTCTTCTTTTTAATGCTTCTCTAGAGATTCTAGGCTAGTAAATAATTACTAATAAAGAAATAGAATTGTAATTACTGTAACCCTCAATCTTAAGACTTTTTTTCTTTCCCTTGCGGATTTCAGTGTTCTAAATGGAAGTGCTTCTTCCGCTGTCAAAGTTGAACTTCCAAATGATAAGGGTAATGCATCGAATGCCCCAGGTTGGTTGTGTTCCATGTAGCTCAGATTTCCTTTTGTTTGATTTGGCTCTTTTTTCTTCTGCAATTTTTGCTCTAAATAGGTTTTATTTACTGATATTTTGGTTTACTAGGAGTTGAAATTTGCACTCCTAAACCATCTACGATTTCTCAGAAGGTTGACAAGCAAACTCATTTGAAGAACCAGACAGCCAAAAAGATAGCTAGCATGGTCAGGAACCCATCAGCTCTGAAGTCAAAAAATCAATGGCAGTCAGCACAAGCTAAAAGCATAAAACCCACCAGTGTGAGAAGGTGGTTATCTATTTATTTGTCATGTTACTTTTTCTGGTCATCCTGATATTTGTTTTGAAAATTGTTTTTATGCTGAATTACTGATCGAAAAGGATACCTGGTTCAAATGTATAGAGACAAAAATATGAAAAGCTCTGTTGGGACTCCTAATTTTGCTCAAGAAAACCAAGCCATAAAGAGGCAAAAACTGGAAGGAGGAAAATCTAGACCGGTGAGTGTTTTTGAACTATTTTCTCTTTCCATTTGTCGTAGTTCTATGATTTATTTAACCTGAAATATTTCATTTTTTCTCAAAATTCATAGATCCTTAATATTAAAACTCAAACTCTACCCCACAAATCAAGACCTGGTTTAATGAGCACCAACTCCAACTTGTACTCTTCAACTAACAAAACTCATAAAGAGGACAGAAAGGTATGTTTTTTTTAACAAGATTCTCTTTTTCTGATCCAAACTCAACATGTTTGCTGAATTTGGGAATGATATTCTGACTCCAGTTGTTCAATGTAAAGGTTTATGTTCGGGAACCAGCTCCTTTTGTCTCAATGGCGGAAATGATGAAAAAGTTTCAATCAAGTACAAGAGGGATGTCTCTGCCCCGCATTAGCAGTTCTCTTTCGCATGTAATTGAAAAAAGATACCACAAATTTTCCTTTTTAAAGGGCCTTTTTGGCTTGGTGCATTCATTAATATGTTATAATCCCTTATTTTTTTCCCCCCAACTTCAGAATGATGCTGCTTCAACAAGGCAGAGGCCAAAACTCACGCTCACAAGGCCCAAGGGACCAGAATTTGAAACGTCCCAGCGGGTACGTTCAGTTAGGGTTAAGAGTTCTGCTGAACTTGAGGAAGAAATGATGGCTAAAATTCCAAAATTTAAGGCTCGGCCAGTAAACAAAAAGGTATTAATTTTTCTTTGATTTGATTGATTTCTTTTAAAATGTTCCTCTTCTTAGTATGTGACTGATTCTTTTGTTTGTTGCAGATTCTGGAAGCTCCAACATTACCGGCATTACCAAGAAGCACACCCCAGCTACCGGAATTTCAGGTGAGCTCTGCACTCTGGATGTGGATGGTGGATAGGAAGAAGAGTGCAACATTGAGATTTAAAACTAAAATTTTCTAAATTGTTGCAGGAATTCCACTTAGAGACAATGGAAAGGGCCATTCAGAATGCAGAAACATCTACAGTAGCCTCAATAGAATCTGCTCCTCAAGTATGCTTATAAATTGTTCTTTGCTTAAAATTGCTCTGTCCTTATGAAAATGAATTATTTATACTGAGTACAACTTGGTACTTTGTGAATAAACAGAATCATCAGTGGAAGCCTCATCATCTAACAGCACCCAAGTCACCCCTTCTACAAACTTTACTTAGGGCACGTCCACCCAGGATTAAAAGTTCTCAAGAACTGGAAAGGGAAGAACTTGAAAAAGTTCCAAAATTCAAGGCAAGGCCTTTGAATCCGAAGGTAGGATTTCGCCAGTCAATTTACTACTATTTCTTGGCAAAAAGTTTGTTTTCAGTTAAACTTGACGTTTTCAACTCTTGTAGATATTTGAAAGCAAAGGGGAACTGGGAATGTATTGTAACACAAAGCGAGACATTACTGTACCACAAGGATTTCACTTTGCAACAGACGAGAGGTTTCCCCCACCAGCCACCATTGCTGATCTGTTTGACAAGGTTATTGAGGAAGTCTCATTCACTTCAATGTTTCTGCTTCGAGTCCTAATCATTGGAAGTGTCTTAATATATATATTTATTTATCTTTTATTTCCTTTCCAGCTTTCATTGAATTCAGAACCTCAACATGAGAAACAGCTTGTAAGGAACACCACACCAAATCCCTTTCATCTTCACACCGAGGTAATTTGCCACTTCAAATGATCTTGATTGACAAATATAGGATGACTGCTGAGTTTTGTTCGTGCTCATATTTTATTTTCTGCCGCGCATTTTATGACTCCAGGAAAGAGGGGCAGAGAAAGAGAGGAAGTTCGTGATGGAAGTCATTCATAAACAGTTGGAAGAGGAGAGAGCTAGGATTCCAAAGGCTAACCCTTATCCTTACACTACTGATTATCCTGTGGTACAAAATTTGTCTTGCTAGCTTTATTTTTGCCCCATTCTTCATATTAAGGTAAAAAAAAAAAAGGCTTGAGTTGATTATTACTGTCACTCGCTATGCAGATTCCACCAAAACCGGAGCCAAAGGTATGCACAAAAGCAGAACCTTTCCAATTGGAGAGTCTGGTGAGACATGAAGAGGAAATGCAAAGGGAAATGGAAGAAAGGCGGAGGATGGAGATGGAAGAAGCTCAGATGAGGATTTTCAAGGCTCAGCCGATCCTGAAAGAGTGAGTAACCTAAAAGATTCAAGTTCTGCTGCACACATGCCTTCTTTTTCTTTTCTTTTCTTTTTTTGTTAAAAATTTAATGCCCCATGGCTACAAATTTTAGGGATCCAATTCCAGTTCCTGAAAAAGAGCGGAAACCCCTCACAGAGGTTCAACAATTCAAGTTGCATCTAGATACTCGAGCAGTGGATAGATCAGAATTTGACAAAAAGGTAACCAACCATTTTAATTTTTTTATATCTCCTGTGTACTTGTATTTGAATCCAGAATCATTCGACATATGATGTTTTCTTAGGGGTCAGCACTAATATAAAGCTTGAAATTGGGGCCTTTTATGCCATGCATATATACCACTAGTAGTTTTCTAATTTTGCATAAAAATTGTGGATTTTTACAGATTAAGGAGAAAGAAATGATGTATAAACGATACAGAGAAGAAGCAGAGTCTGAAAAGATGGTATAGACATATTTTTCTGCAAATGTAATCATAAATAGTGATGATAATGATAATGATGATATAAATTGAATTTTCTTAAACTGATCCGCAGATGGAAGAAGAGAAGGCCTTGAAGCAATTAAGAAGGACATTAGTGCCCCATGCTAGGCGGGTGCCCAAGTTCAACCACCCTTTTATCCCACAGAAGTAAGATGGACTCTTTTTCTCATCTGATGCATACTATTACGCCATATTTAGATCGGTTTTGAATTTTTAGAATCACAATTTTTGCGCGCAGATCTTCTAAAGAAATTACAAAGCCGAAATCTCCAAAATTGAAAGTGGTTCAGAGAAAGGAAAGACGAAAAATGTTCAGTACTGTAGCAGCAGCTTCCAGTGCAGCCTGTCTTATGAGGTGATTGTCATGATGATGATGATGATGGGCTTGGTGACTGACTACTGTTCAAGAACACTTGAACCCCCAACCTAGTTTAGGCTGCACCAGTTCTAGTACTAGGAGAAAAGAGTATTGTGTTGGTAAAATCATTCTTTTAGTGCCAACTTTTGTACTTATAACCCATTCATGTAAGGTGTATTCTAATAGAATGTTGTTATATTTTACCTGTAAGCTTACAAACTTTCACTTCAAAATAAGCAGACTAATGTTGTGTTTGGGAGGATTCAAATACACACTGTTTTTGTGCCTTACCTAACCCCCCACCCCACAAAAATAAAAATAAAAATTGAAGAGGAAAAAGAAGAAGAAAATGACGATGATGAATTTAAACAAAATTGCTCAGAAGTGAATTGCTGTAGTCAAAGGTGGTGCAACTAAGAAAATTGAATCAATTTTTTTTTTTTTTTAAATTTCACTTCAAAAATAAGCAGACTAATGTTGTGTTTGGAAGGATTCAAATACACAACTGTATTTGTGCCTTACCTAACACCTCCACCACACAAAAAAAAAAAAAAAAAAAAAAAAAAAAAAAAAAAAAAATTGAAGAGGAAAAAGAAGAAGAAAATGACGATGATGAATTTAAACAAAATTGCTCAGAAGTGAATTGTAGTCAAAGGTGGTGCAACTAAGAAAATTGAATCAAATTTTTTTTTTTAAATTTCACCAATTCTAATTTCAAGGCTTAAATTTCACGCAGCCGAACACACCCATAATATTGTTCAAAGACTATACCCGCTTTATTTATTTCAAAAAGCTCAGGAACGAGTATGTACGGAATAAAAAGATTCCAACCGTCCAAGTAAAGAATTGACTAGACAAAATTAAAATCATGTATCTTAATATTTTGTCTTTACCCCAGGGGACTCAACCTTATGATTTTATCACTAAAAAGTTTATGTGAATATGTCTCTCTATTGCTCTATTTAAACTTAACTAAGTCACATGCACCTTAGTTTCATCTAAATTTGTGCATAATGTGCTAGTAAAAGGAGGAAGATTTGGGGATTATTTTGGATGATGCAAACGCTCTGTTTTAGAGGTGTGTCAATTCTTCGATGTGCTGGTTCCCTAGGTGTGGGTGCTCTGTCTTTTGATGCTCTTTTTCCATGTAGTGTTTCTTTTGGTTCTGTTTTGTTCGGCTTAAAAAAAAAAAAAAGTGCATTTCTTATTATTTTAAGAATCTTAATGCATTGGTGAAAATTAAATTGATGGAGAGACGCAGTTAACTGAGGGTATAATTGTCAAAGTGTGTTTACAGCAATTTATGTTTACAGCAATTTATGTAACATATTTGTGTGATATGAAGCTAAAATACTTGCACATTAGCATTGATCATCATTTAATAAGAAAACAATAAAGCAAAATAAAGAAAGAGATTTCTTCTTTCATTAAACTATATATCAAACAATATTTTTCACGCTCAAAAATTTAAAACTTTTGGCTTAGCTGGAAATTACATGAAAAAAAGGAAATAGAATTTTTTTAAAGAATAATAATCCCCTTTCTTTTATGGTAGGTTTTATGCCATTCAACCTTTTTTTTTTATAGTAAATTTCATGCAATTCAAATCAGTAATATCTTTGAAAAAAATTCATGCTAAACAAATAAAGGATCAAAAAAATTTACTTATCTATCTATTCCATTTTAGTTGTCCACTTTATATATTGTCCACTTTATATATTAGGACTTTTTAAAAAGATATGTAATTAATATTGTTTTTTTAAAAATTATCAAGTTATTCTCCTAAATTTAAGTATGTACTATTCTCTCCTTTCAAGATAGATGACGGAGTGAATAATAAATTTTGAAATTTTAAAAAATAATTATGAAAAAATAGTCTTATTTTGCTTTGAATTTTCAAATGAGCCAACTAATAAGAGACATCACGTAATAGAAAAATGAATTATTAATATGAGATTTCCATCCGTTTAATTCACACTTTTTTTTTTTTTTTTTTTTTTTTTTTTTTTTTTTCATACGGTTCACTTTTTACTATTAATTTTAATTTTCATCTAAGGGATCACAGGAAAAAAGAGTGGCAGAATAGTAATTGAGAAAAATAACAAGGCTAGAAACCCTACTCTTTCTCATACACTCATTTTGACAGTTTATGAAGTGACGCTCCCTGTTCTCGTTATTCTCTCCTCCCAATAGGAACGGGCTCAAGCGTTGCTCTCTCTTGGCGACTTTTCACGGTTACTCTCTTTCTCTCATCATTCATCAATATTCCATCACTCATTTTAATTATAGTTTGGTACTTTTACGTTTCGTTACCATTCAATACCATCTTCTTTTGGCATCTGTTTGGTTGATTATGAAACTAAACAGAAGTAAAAAAAAAAAAAATGAGCAAAATAAAGTCAATGAATTTTGTATTGATGTTTTTGAGAAATGAAGAAAACCCACTTCAATTAAGCCCAGTGTGTAACTGGGTCAACCATCCAAAAATTTTCATTTTCAAGTTCTTACATTTTTCTGGCAACTATCAGTGTAAGTCGCATATCCGTTTTTCTGAGATTGGTCTTGTATCTTACTGTATTCAACCCATGATTGTTGTGTGTTCTTGCTTGGTTGGTGTTGATTTGTAATAGGATACTAGTTATATTCATATTTTGAATCATCTGATCATTTAATGAGTTGTTGAAGGCGATAAATGTGAGATGGGTTCTTCTATGAGTTTGATAGATTCTTTGTGAATATTGAGTCTTTTTCTGATACTTGTTTGGTTGCCAAGAAAATTGAAAAATGCAATGAAATGATTTGTTAAACATAAAGTTTATTCAAACTTCGCGATCACAATCATGAGCAAATAGTCATGGAAGATTGTAACTAGCGGATCACATTTTTGGGGAAAAAAAATTTGTTCTTGGCAGCATATTTTGTTCCCATATTCTAAGGAATACTTGTTTTGAAAAAGAAAAGTCATTTTCGTGTATAAAAGGGGAAGAAAGCCCCACCTTGTTTCTAGAGAAAAAAAAAAAAAAAAAAAACTCAAGGAAAATGAGAATAAAATTACTTTTGATTGTCTGATTAAGGTTTCCATAGGCCCATGCCAATGAAGAATTTTATTTACTTGGGATTCCTATGAAAAAAAATCTAAGATTCATATTTGTTTTTTGTCTTCTCTTCATTCTTTTCTAGTAATTGATAAAGGGGATGTTTTTGTTCTTCTGTGTTATCCCATATGTTCAATAGGTTAATAAATGATTCAGTTGGCTTCATATTGTTAAGATTTGGTATATATTGTTAAATATTTTGAAATTATGCACAGAAGTTATGCTGCTAAGATTAAGAACATTCACTTCTGGACAAATACTTTTCAAGGTTTGTATAGCTTCTGTTAGTAAAAGAGGAATTTTTATGGTAATGAAGAAAATACATTCAATATTTTTTATTTATTCTTCTGGACTGGATTCTATATTCCTATTTATTTTTAGGCTCATTCACTTTCTTTATGCTCAATTTAAGTTCGCAGAATATGCAAGGTATTGAGCTTCTGTATTAATAACTTCAGACAACATCTATTTTCTGGGTCAGTGGGGGTTAAATAAGTATATCTAAGAAAGAACACAGCAACTACTCATGGGGCATATAAAAGATTCAAATAATTTTGTTGAACTGGAGTAAATTCTTTACCCTTTTTTTTCCTATTTACCTCTTTCCTTGTTGGTTGGGGCAAGGGGACACATTTGTTTAGTTACAGTCTTGCGATACACAGGCTCATAAAAACCAACTGACAACAATGCCACAGATGCTCAGTACTGGTATTCACTTGCTGGGTTGAAAGTACATTACACATCACATTTATCTTATCTGCCTATTGTTTTATGTCCTTAAGGTTACTAGAAGGGGTATCTCAAGTAGAAATACAACTTTGTATGTCCGTGCTTGCTAAGCGAAATTCCATTTTGTCCATTGTTTTCCTTGCTGTAAAACTGTTATAAGTTGATTTTGTTCTTGTACTTGTTTTCAAGTTTATCCTTGCAAGGTCCTAATTAATGTCATTTTCTTGTAGGTCACCACAGTGAATTGCTAACATGGCGGATGTATCACAACATCCATCAACATTTGAGAAGATACATGGGCGATCTAATCTCCTTTCTAGAATTTCTCCCAACTTGCATTCGAGGAATACTGATTTAAACAGTCTGACTGGTCCATACAAAAATGGAGGTCTGCAGAGTCCTTTGTTGTCAGCACGCCAGGGCACTGGCCTGGAATTTGTATCGCCACTATCTCCAATTTACGTACAAGCTCCATCAGAAAAAGGTATAGGTGGTTTTATGATTGATTTTCTCATGGGAGGAGTTTCTGCAGCCGTGTCCAAGACAGCTGCTGCTCCAATCGAGCGAGTTAAGCTTTTGATTCAGAATCAAGATGAGATGATCAAAGCCGGTCGGCTTTCTGAACCTTACAAGGGAATTACTGATTGTTTTGGTAGAACTATGAAGGATGAGGGCGTCATTGCTCTCTGGAGAGGCAACACTGCCAATGTTATCAGATACTTCCCCACCCAGGTCACTCTACTTCCATACTCTACTTCCATTTGATGTTTCTTAACCTTGCTTTACCTTTTGTTTCTTCATTATGCTCTTGATTGGTGAAAGGAAGAGACTATTCTCCCAAAAGGTTCCCCCTCCTCTTCTCAAAAAAAATAATACCAATAATAATAATAATAAAACATGCAGAGTCGAATTGGTTTCCGAGTAAAATTTTCTTGTGATGCTTGCTGATTAGTACTGATTCTGTATTCATGTTGATCTATCGTTTACATGGATATCATAGGGCAATTTGGGAGTTGGTTGTAGAATTTGCTACTCCATATTTCATATCTGTTCTATTTTGTCATGCCGTTGTCATGATTTGATTCTTTAAACTATACATGTCTCACTTTCCAGGCGTTGAACTTTGCTTTCAAAGATTACTTTAAGAGGCAATTTAACTTCAAAAAAGACAAGGATGGCTACTGGAAGTGGTTTGCTGGAAACTTGGCATCAGGTGGCGCTGCTGGTGCCTCATCTTCGCTGTTTGTTTATTCCTTGGATTATGCCAGAACTCGTTTGGCAAACGACGCTAAGGCTGCTAAAAAGGGTGGTGAAAGGCAGTTTAACGGTATGGTTGATGTCTACAAGAAAACCATCAAATCGGATGGAATTGCTGGGCTTTATCGTGGATTCAACATCTCATGTGTGGGAATTATAGTGTACCGTGGGCTCTACTTTGGAATGTATGATTCTCTGAAACCAGTCGTCTTGGTTGATCAGCTGCAGGTAAGTGAAATTATGGGAACTTGCATTATGACCTTTCACTTTTTTGTTCTTTTATCTCTTTCCAAATATTGAATTCAAATTATTATTTAGCAGCATTCTTTTTGCTCGTCTTCTTTTTGGCGACGCTTTTCTCCTTGATCACATAGTCTCTCCCATTGTAACTCTATTGAATCAAATTGTTGCGTAGCGCATAATTTGATGATTTGGAGTGAACCATTCTAGAACATCCATAAAACTAGAGGAAGCCCCTTTAACTAACAATACATCCGTAAAATCTTTTATCCACAAGAAAGCCGCAAATTAAGCCAAAAAGCAAAAACTATGAGAAAGATGTGGTCAGAGCCAAGGGTGGACTAAGTAAGCCTCTTTTTTATATGGTGGGTTTAAAAACAAACTTTTATTTGGCCCCCATAATTTTCTTTGAAAAATCTTTTTATAGCTCTCTTTATAATTATCAAGGTTGAGTTTAAAAATACATGTCTCCCCTCCAAAGTCCATTAATTCCTTTTTATTCTTGCTTTAGAAAATTCAAATTTAGCGATAAGGAGAAGTAATTTCATTATAGTGGTAGTACTTACCCCAACATATCAGTATTACATTCAAATATTTGTATATACACCTATTATCTACTATCTCCGTCCTATAATAATTGTCAATTTAAAAAACTTTGATTCACTACCACCTTTTATTTTTGAATCATTTGATATTATTTTTAGTCATATTCCTTTAATATACTTATATACTACCTATATTCCATACTAGAGGTCTATTTTGATAATTTTGACTCACAAAAATTGTGAGTCAAAATTTTTGGAGTTGACAACTAATATGGGACAGAGGGAGTATATGAATTCAAGAGAAAAAAAAAGGGATATTCAGCACTTGGCAGCCTCATTTTTGGCTGGCATTGCTCTTGTGACGGCCTAAGTTTTTCAATCCGGTGCATCAGTGATGAACCGAAAGTGATCCGATAACGGATCCGAAATGCGAAAGCTAAAGGTAAACCAAGGTCTCTAGAGATAGGAGTCACTCCTAAGACGCAAATGTAACCCTTCATGAGGTCATGGAACTTAAAGGGGACAAAAACAGAAACAAAGGTCAAAAAGGACAAAATTCGTCATCCAAGGGGCAAAAAGGTCAATTCATAATTAAAAGGAGAAACTTGACTCTAAACAAGTCAAACAAGGTGAATACAACCTAATCTAATCATTTTGAAACATTCTAAGAGGTTCCATGAACATTGGCTAAGAATCCCACAAAATGCCCCGTCCTGGTTGAAGTGAAAACTGACACTGCTTCACTAAAATATACATAACTCCCACTGTGTTTGGAATTTGAGAATGAGATTGGTACCATTGGAAAGCTGACTCAAAATCCTTGAGTTTAGGCTCAAGAACCACCCTAGTTGGATTAGAAACGAAGAAGTTATGACCCGTTGAAATCGGATGATCAGTGCTAAAACTCAACAGAGGCTAGGCTCGGGTTCAAGCTATTTCGGTCGACCGAAATGAAGTTTCGGACAACTGAAATGAAGATGCTGAGACCTGGAATCATGAAGAAAGGGTTCGTGTTGCTTCGGTAGACCGAAATAAGGGTTCGGTCGACCGAAATGACCCTTGAACAGTGTTTTTGGCTACTGGAATGTGATGCTACTGTGCCAAAACAAAACCATATGCTATCGGTTGACTGAAATGGAGTTTCGGTCGACCGAAACACCACGAAAAGCTGCTGATGAACTTGCTAACAGCCTAAGGTGCTACGATCCAACTTCAACTTGAATCCCATGATTGCTTTAATTCAAAATGGATGTGTAAAACTGATTTTTCATGAGTTTTGAGAATGTAAACATGTCAACAAGTTTGATATGAGTAAATGAATATAAAACAATGGCCCATGGCCTCATACACTTCATTTATAAGATTTTGACTTCTCAAACCTCAAAATTTGATTAAAAGACAATTGAAGCAAAAATGTTATACCAAAAGTGTCTAAGTACAAAAGTAGACATGCTTGGCCCTTGGCATCATTACATACATGCTTAAAATGTCAAAAGTGATTACTTAATATCTTTACACATCAAGGAAATTACATAATCTTCAAAAGTACCATACACACATGGTATACAAAATATAACTTCAAAAGTTAAGCATGCTAAACACTTGCATGTTAAAATACAAAAATGTTTCAACAAGCTCAAAAGTTTCTAAGGATGATGAGCATCCATGAACATAGTCTCTTTACCTGAAAAACAATCCAAACCACTAGGGTGAGTAATCAAGTTACTCGTAGGAGAAGCATACGCGTATACCTTAAAGTTTCAATATAATTGCAAGATCAATATAGACGAATACAAGGGAGCATTCCACTTAACGTCTATGTTCAAGGTGTGCTAAGGAATCATCTTAAGCTAACTTAAATATTTCTTTAGCAACTCAAATCAATATCAATGTACTTGACAACATCAATTCGCCAATAACAAGAATTTCAAGCTACAATTAAGTATTGGTTGTCAACTTGAAATTTAATGCGAAAACAAGTAATGGAAGACTTGGACATCACGTCTCGGACTTAACCAAGATCATTATGGTTATTCTGGGCATTAACCCACTGGGAAGACCACCCTAGTGCGTACTATCTCAATTGGGGAGAACTCATACCTCCCACACCAAAGCCGAACTTTAGCCATGTCACATGTAATAATGTCTCTTATATATAATAAGGCATACAAACCACCTTCCAAGTACAAGTATTTTGAAACCATACAAACCATGTCTGAGGATTCCAAATCTAGAATGGCATGCCAAATGACAAATTCACATCATGATATTATGCACAATACAATATCACAAATTTATCAATTCAAGTCATGCCTCAATAACAAGCTCTATATACTAATTATCAACATTTAGCAATAGGCTCATAAATTAGTCACAATTTGTAATTCACAAGAACATAGAATTATTATCACAAAAATAAAGCAATTCAAGTCAATAAGAATTGCATATAACACTAATAATTCTACTAGAGTTCTATATTACTATCACATGTGAATTTACTAGAATTTAACATCTACCAAATTATATAATCCTTCTACACATGGTTTACACATATCATACATGCTTAAATCAATAAACCCTAAGTCAAGAAGTGAGGGTTTCCTATAATATGCAATACTATCATATCAAAAGCATGTACACAATATATATTAAACCACAAGGACTATAAAACACTTGGAATATAAACATACTACCACCCCTATCTCAATAGAGAATTGAATCTCTATAATCTAAGTTACCAAGCACAAAATGGAAAACAAGGTTAGGATTCTTGAAGAGGAGAGTGAAAGGAATCTTTTCTCTCTTAAGATCAAAAGTCTAGGGTGAGTGGAAGAGTGCCAAAAGTGAAGTCAAAGCTCTTTACTAAACTTTCTTTAATGGAGTCTTTGCTAGGTTCTGAAGAACAAGTGTAAAAGATGAAGGAGAAGGTGAAAATGGTGAGTGGAGTGTCTAGAGAACCTCTACTCACTATGTGCTCTTACACTACCTCTCTCACACACACATACAAGACTAAATCTTGAGCTTACATTTGTCACCAATCCAATGCCTCTTCCAAGACTTAATCCTAGACCCACACTTGTCAACAATCAATGGTTACATGTGCACCAATCCTAGGCCAACACATGGATGATTCTCCACCTTCCCATTGTCAAGAAACTATGGTACCAAGTCTCTCCACCCAATTGCCAACAAGTGGCACCATGAGAATGTGATACTTGTCACATTTTCCAAAAATTGCAAAATAGTACTTTTTCAAAATATCTTCCAAAATAAATTGCAAAAAGGTCCTTAAAACGAAAAATAATTATTTTACATAATTACACTAAAACCCCAAAAATTAAGAATAATTATACTAAAGTATGCATTTATGCCCTTTACAAGAAAAGAACTAATCTAGCATGCTTTTTAAAAAAGGTAAAAATACTAATGTCATGGAAATCAAATACCATGAATGCATGCAAAACCGGAATTAAATCCGAGTACAACAAGTGAGGTTATGCAAGGAAAAACGAAAAACGGGAAAAAGATGAAATAGAGAAAAGACAAAATAGGAAAAAGACAAAAAAAGAAAATCACCGAAAATGAAAAAGGAGGAAAATGACCGGGTCATTACAGCTCTCTCTCTCCCTCCATCCCTTTTTGTATTAGTTTCTTCATCTTATTTATTTAAATTGTTTTATTCTAATTTTTTTAGGCTATAAGTTCTTCATTATGTGGGTTGTATGAAGAAAAGGTAAAAGTAATTCTCTCACTAAGTTTGCACATTGTAAAGGTTAGATTCCCAACTTAACATTTAGTGAAAAAGTAATAATAAAATAAAAAAAGAAAAATAAATTCTAACAGTTATAAGGATACATCCTAGTGAAGGTGTTAGACATGCTCGTAATAATATATATTAAAATCCACAACCTGCATATTTGTGGCTCCGCCCCCGGTTCAACGCTTGTTGTAACATCCAGATGATCCCGGGTCATCTGCTTAAATCCATGGTTCTTAATTTAATTTTGTTTCGTGCCTTTTTGATATCTTTTAAAGGTCACTATGTCATCTAGCTCGCACCTATGGACCTTCTGTGTGAAATTGAATTGGCTCCTTATGCTAGAGCATTGACCAATCTGATTTTCAGTGCTACATAATTTAGTTGTCATAGTTCCCGACTGCAGTCTAATCATATAATTTTTTTAGGTTATAAGTTCTTCATTATGCTTGTTGCTTTGGTATCTGCAGGATAGTTTTCTGGCAAGTTTCTTACTGGGATGGGGAATCACCATTGGTGCTGGACTGGCTGCTTACCCACTTGATACCGTGCGTAGAAGAATGATGATGACATCAGGAGAAGCCGTGAAGTACAAGGGCTCCATGGATGCATTCAAGCAGATCATCAAGAATGAAGGTCCTAAATCACTCTTCAAGGGTGCTGGAGCAAATGTCCTTCGTGCCGTTGCAGGAGCTGGTGTGCTTGCCGGTTATGACAAGTTGCAGGAAGTTGTGCTTGGCAAGAAATATGGATCAGGTGGTGGTGGCGGCGGTTAACATAATATGATTATTTTTGAATAATTATGACCAAGCAGTGGTGGTTTTGGTATTGCCCAAGTATTTGGGAGTTCCATGTTAGCAGCTTTTATAGTGTTGAAACAGCTCATGTCAAGTGCACTTATACTGAGTAAAACATAAAAAAATTTAAATAAACTGGCATCAGTAGGGTTTTTTATTTTATTTTATTGGATTGTGGCACGGTTGTTTCTCGATATCGTTAGGTTCAGTTTGCTGCATTTTTTCGGCTGAGGCTTGCCGTGGTAATGCAGGAGATTTATTTTTACCTTTTACTTACGAAATTGGAGATATATTTTTGCATCTTTAACGCAAAGTACACAATCTTTCTGACTTGTTCCTACAGAACTAAGGTTCCTACAGAACTAAGGTCGAAAAGATTGAAAAAATCAGTCATTTACAACCACTGATGAAGGATTCCTCGAAAAGGTAGGTTAGTGAATTATCGTACAATCACTTGTTTGCCTTGAATGTAGACCGGTGATGTTTGATAAATTAAAAAATTAAGCATTAAAGTGGATAACTTAATTAACTTAATCACCTCAAAACTTCAAGTACTTAATAATATATACTCAAAATATTGAAGTATGTTTTTTTTTTCTTTTTTTTCTTTTTCGAACGGTAAATATTGAAGTATGTTTTTTTTTTTTTCCGAACGGTAAATATTGAAGTATGTTCTGAGTTGTGTAGTCTACTGAACTCTAAAAGTAATTATTTTAAAACACAAAGTGGATAATTGAATTAGTTTTTCAACCCAATTTGAATCACTTTAAAACTATTTTATTTAATAAGCTCAAAATATTGAAGTACCTTATGAAATATGCAGTCATCAGAAAACCGTGACTTCGAGGCAAATTGTGAGACTCCTCCACTATCTTACTGAACTCTAAAAATTATGATTTTTGGACATTGGATAATTAAATTAGCTTTTTAACCCAATTTAAATAACTTTAAAATTCAAATATTTTATGAGATATGCTCAAAATACATATTTTGAATTGTGACATCGCTAGAAAATCGCGACTTTGAAGGCAAATTGGACCGCCCTTATTAAGTTCCAAAATTTTTTATCGCTAATTTCATGTCAATCAAAGTTGTATAGAGGAAAATATGGCCAAAACAACAACTGCTGAAAAAATTTAAGGTACGAATTTTCAATCTTCAACCTCCTTTGAAGCAATCTTCAATGATTGATTTTGACATATTACTAACCACCAAATTTTTATTCAAGGCGGCCTAACTGCATGTTGATGCATAATAAAGAAAGAACTTGTAAGAGATGATAAGAGGTGATCGAGGCTGAAATCGACATGATGCCGACTAGATACACTCTGACGGTTAAGTTAGTACTTTATCATTGTATAATAAAGAAAGAACTTGTACGTATTTAATGTTTTGCCGTACCTCCTTTTTATAGTTAGGTATTTGAGAATTCATAATTGTGTTCGAGCTCGAGACTTCTTTATTACCTTCTCCATTGTAACTTATGAGTGGTAGTTTTTCTTACTAGCTCATCTTATACCCCTAACTCTTTTATCGGTTTAATCTTTGGTATCAAATCCCATTCCCATCTCTAATTAATTATAAGGTGCACCTCATAACTTTTCTCTTTTGATTACAAAAAATTGTGCAAGAATCATGTCATTTTGGTGTCACATTTAAATAGTCCAATCTTCAAAATATCTCAAAATAAAATGATATAGGCCGATTAAATTTTCGTCCAGAGAAAATATAAAAGTTTAACTACAGCCTTTGATGCAAAAAAAAAAAGAAAAAGAGAAAAAGAGGAATGAAAGAAAGAAAGAGAGAGAAAGAGCTCATGAGTGCTATAATGAGACGCACCTCATTATAACTTTACTCTTTTATTTCTACAGTATAAGATAAGAGTTTAAGGGAAACATTGGCTTGATTTATAAGACAAGTGATTACAAAAGAACATATATATATATATATATATATTGTCATGACAATAAGGAAAGAGATCTGTTTTCCTCGAAACAGAAGATTATAGCTTGGAATCATGTGGAGAGCATTAAATGCTAAAGAGTGGGAATCCATCTTAGGGTTCTACACCTCTTGTTATAATTTAGTGGGATTGATTCAGAAACCTTGTGATAGATAGATATATAAATACAATTATCACGATGACAGACTGTAGATACATGGGTACGTGTAGCAATATGCCTCATGTGATACAGTTTGATTTTTAAAATTTTATTTATTTATTTTCATTAAGATGATAATATTTTATCTGAAGATTATAAGGAGAGCATTAAGAGTTTTAAGACTATTGTATCAACTATCAAGCAAATAGTTTGAGAAAGAAAGAAAGGGTTTAACAAATCAAATATGTGTCTATGTTATCACCCTAGTAGCTATATATATATATATATATATATAAAGTTCTACGAATTTTTTATTTTATATTTAAATAAATAGAAGCATTGGTAGATGCAAAATTGACCACAAGTTTAAGAAAAGTCTACCCAATTTGTTGATGATTCAAATGTATACGTGTATGCATGTGTGTGTTATATATCTATATATAGGAAGAGAGACGAATGTATGCATCAATTTATGTATCCGTGTGAGCTCAACAAACATTCACGTCGAGCACACCTTTCCGTCTCGGTTAGGTTTTTTGGGTTTAGCATAATTTCACACCATTTACAAAACCCTATAAGCTTATAGATGCTTTCTCTAAAATTAATTGCTATTACTATAAACTAAAACCTTTTTTTAATGAATTCTCTCAAGTCTAAACTAAACCCTTAATAATAATAACAACAACGACGTTGAATTTTATAATTTCTATGCTTTCTTTTTCTACACACCCCACATGATCAGAATTGAAAAAACAAAAACTCTTTGAATTGTAGGATTAATAGAAGAGTCAAACAGAGCCTAAAGAATTGCATAAATAGCCAACCCATCACGCGCCTAGGCGGTGGTCAACCCTCACCCCTGCTCTCCGGGAAAATCTGTCTCACTTGGTAAAATGACCAATTTGCCCTTGGCAAGCACCAATAAGTCTTCAATCTAGCAGGGGTAGAACTGTAAAACCGTGTATAAACTGATTAGAGAAGCGTTTTTCTTCATTCAAACTCCAGCAAAATCCAACTCTCTCACTCACCACACACAACACACACATTCCAATTCTATTTGTTAATTGTGATTTTAATTATTGTTTAAATGAACCAACATTATGTATAGATTATATTATTTGTATCCACGCTACACTAATCCACCACCTCCTAAATATTTATATATAGGAATTCCAAGTTCATTAATTCTCTTCAACAATAAGCACCTTGTATTACACTAGTACTCTCTTCTTTCTTTATCTTCCTCCTCTTGCACCAAAGTGAAATGGGAGGAAGCTCACCCTGTGCTTCTTGCAAGCTTTTGAGACGCCGCTGCACCAGAGACTGCATCTTTGCCCCATACTTCCCTTCCGATGACCCTTACAAGTTTGCCATTGTTCACAAGGTGTTCGGTGCTAGCAACATCAGTAAAATGTTGCAGGTCTCGCTTTTCAACTAGCATATCCTCTGCAGTACACCTGTATTATGCGGTATACAATGGACAGGGGAGATCAACCTAAAAGTAGGTCATACCTGCCGGTGGGTTGATCTCAGCCGTCCTCGTTGCATTGCCAAATACAAGTTGGTGGAGAGGATTTTAACTCCTCTCTTTTTAGTATATACTACACGCACAAACACACACATAAGCAAATATATGTATGTAGCTAACACAATCTATTGTTTTTAAATTATAAATTTTTGATTATCTTAACAGGAGCTTCCGGTTCATCAGAGAGGAGATGCAGTGAGCAGTTTAGCTTATGAAGCAAATGCAAGAGCGCGAGACCCGGTGTATGGATGCGTTGGGGCGATTTCGTACCTACAGAATCAAGTGTCTCAGCTGCAAATGCAGCTTGCGGTTGCTCAAACGGAGCTACTTTGCATGCAGATGCAGCAAGAGCCTACCGTGCCGGTGCAGATGGAGCTGGCAGCTGATGATGAGAAATCACTTGTTCTTTCGAGTCATAACTTCAGTAATCTTCAACAGTATCTCAACTTCGCTAATTCTTCTGGCAATGTAATCCAAGATCCTCCAAAGAGGGAGTCTCTTTGGACATAACTTGATAATTTAAATCATTCTCTAATGAAAATGTTTGTGTTTTTTTTTACTGTTTCTGTCTTATGAATGCATGTGTATGTTGACTATGTTGCGCCTTCTAGGAGTGAGTTGTGTCACTTAGTCAACCCTCGCATGTGACTATGTGAGACGCGGAGCACGTACCAGGAGTAAATTAGGGTTAGAAAATACTTGTTTACTTCATTTTCAAGATTAGGCTCTCTCTCTCTCTCTCTCTCTCTCTATATCATGCCAAAATAGTAAAAAATCATAAAAGGTGGCCTCTAGTAAAAAAAGGTTTAAATCATAAATGTTTCGCCTATATGTAAGAAGAAAATTCATTTATTTCATTATCTTTATTAGCTTAACAAGGGCACACTTATTTATTTAGTTTTATATATGGTGACAAAAAACATACATACCTAATGGGCTAATGTTATTGGGGTTTTGTCCCATATCAAATTTAAATAAGAAAATAATTAGGTGTATATAGTGATTGTGATTTAGTGAATTCTGTAATGTCATAAAGATAATTTATTTTACTAAGATAAAATTTATATTTTTGGGTTTTTTTTTTTTTTTTTTAGGAGAATTGAATCTGAAATTCTTTCCTGCTAGAAGAATGAAATGAATAAATCTTCAAATTAACTCTAAAATCGCTATAATTGACCAATGTTTCTGGATACAATGGTAGTGACTAGTGACTGGTTTGAATTGTAGAAAACGAGAATGCAAATATGCCTCTCAAAAAAAATTTACCATTTTAAGTTTTTGACACTGAATTTGTCAATATATTCAATGACACTTCGCCTCAAAAGAAAAAAACTTGGTCAACTCTACATAACGAGAAGGTAGTTAGGGTTCATTCAAAGGCATTCCCTATTTTCCTTTACTTTCTTCAAAGAAGACAGTTCATTTTAAGTATAAATGTTACAGATTAAAGCATTTTTTTCGATAATTGCAAGTGCTCATCATTGGTAAATTATATGGTACACTAAAAACACCTGACACTACGCTGAGGAGCTGTTTATTGGGTTTTGGAATTTGATACCGAGCTACCAACCTGAAGTTATAGTCCCTTATTAATCTCAAAACTTCACATGGTCTATCCCTTGAGAATCCATATTGGAAGGTGTAATAAGTCCACTTTCCTAAGTCTTTACATATGTGAAATAAAAATTTTATTCCTTTCTTTTTTATTTTTTTGGTAGGACCTTCTCTTTATTTTTTGGTGTCACATTTTTTTAATTGAAATATTTTAAATGAGCAAGAGAAAAATAAAAATAAAAATTGATTGGGCAGGCTCAATAATTTTTATAGCAATTTTGCTATTTTTGAGTGTGAGTGAGCCTACTGAAAGTCCGGTATCTATCCAGAAAATTTTTATGAACAATTATATTTTCAGAGTGTAAAATGAGGGGACATCCTAGTTATTCTCGATTCAATTTGAACTGCACCGAATCTAAATTGCAAGTTGTTGGTCCATTTCTTAAATGAAGTCGGTAGGTCCAATTTACAAATAAAATAAAAAAAATAGAATAAATAAAGTTCAATTTCGTAAATGAAGTCTGTAGGTCCAATGTAGAAATAAAATAGAAAATAAAAAGTCAACTTGGGCCGGCCCAAAAAGGTTGTTGGTCCATTTCTTAAATGGAGTTAGTAGGTCCAATTTACAAATAAAATAGAAAAATAAAACAAATAAAGATCAATTTCGTAAATGAAGTCCTTGGGCCGGCCCAAAAAGGTTGTTGGTTCATTTCTTAAATGAAGTCGGTAGGTCCAATGTCCAAATACGATAAATAAAAATCAATGTCGTAAATGATCAACTTGGGCCGGCCCAAAAAGCTTAGACCAATCGACGATACTGCTTACCGGGTCACTCTCTCAACTCCATAAATTAGACCCGACGCTTGCTTTCAAATCCATTGGCCGAAGCTGATAGCTAAGTTGCGTGCTAATAATTATATACAAGTAATTATGTATATATTTAGTCAATGTGGGACCAATTAAACTTAGAATATTCTATCCATCACTGCTGTGCTGCTTCTCTAACACCACCGTCAGACACTCCGATCTGATCTCCAAAGGCTTTCTCTCTCTCGCCGGATTCCAAGGCTCTCTTCACTGCATTGAAACCGTAACCGGCCCTCCATCGGAATCTTCCCCGCCGCCGTTTCTTTCCGTTCACCACCAGCGATAACACCTTCGATTTCGAGTTTTCCGGCGATGTCGTTGGGTTCATCCGGCTTCCGAAGGACGCCTAAACCGGGAGGGAGGCTTCTTCGTGGCCCACACAGCATCCAAAGACCAGCAGTCTAAGATGTCGGTTGGTTTCCTGTAAATGCAAGGCAAGTTTTCTTCTAATCAGTTTCCTGTATCAGTTAATTTCATTTGTTGGCATCTTAGACTTCTGCTACCCCATAAATAAGAACATATATAAAAATGAAAATTGATTTAATTTTCAGTTCTCTGTTGTGTTTTGTGTCAATTGCATAAATATAGAGCTATTAAAAACAACATAGAAGGAGAAGCATATACCATACAAAAGCATATGCTGTCATTGCAGCCTGTTTTAATTTTACACTGGTTTTGCTTGACACACATAGGACTTGATCAGCTTATTATTCTGATTACTTTTAACTAGTTGAATGGTTAACAGCTAATACTTAGATGAGACAAAAATAGGAACTTGCTTAATTTGGGATGTTGTGGTCTAATTGTTATCAAGATCGATGAGTACCATGGGGTTGTGTTGTTTTTTAAATATACAATTTTGTTTTTTAATTTCCTGAGATATTACTGTTTGATGTTAAATTATTGAGGATTATACGTCATACCTTTAGGATTAGGAATTATTATTATTATTCCAATTTTACTTCTTTCATATGTAAAAGCCATCTTTTATGATCTCTCTCTATGTAGTCACTGCCGAATCTATATTTAAAATTCCTTATTTAATGAGTGTAGCCATAATGGTCGGTTTTGACATGAGTTCAGATTCTTAAGAGTGAATATTAAGATTTAAGAACATTTGGGTTTAGTACTCATTTTATATAATAAAGGGTGTTTTTTCAAATTTGTTGTATTAACTCTGTAAACTTTTAGAATATTTTAGGATTTATTTCTGCTTTGGAAAATGCAGAACATAGTTATGTTTTAAGCATGTCACAGTCTGCATCTCTAAAACTCCTGCACCAGTTAGCAACATGATGAGTCTATTAGCAAGAAATACAATGACTACACTTTATATTTATTAATTTATTTAACTGTCATCTTTGATTTAGGTTAAGGATATCGGCAATGTTAAACAAGACATTTGCTACCGATAGCACACATTAGGAAATAAAAATTGTTGAGCATACACCTTGGAACATCATTGTGCACATTTAGTTACTCTCCAATTGGTCATCTGGTGGGAATTGATTCTCTAAATTACTAAAGGTCCATCAGGTTTTGGATGTCTCATCAAAAATTTAAACCAAAGATGTCATTGGTAACTCTAAAAAGCATAATCAAACATACTTTCATACTTCATCTCCATTCACAATCTGCGAGAACTTTGCACGATTATCTAGGAACCAAAGTATGATCTTCTTGAGTTCTGCTACAACATTGCCAATATTGGTCCTTTCCTGAGGTGATTGCGCAGAGGAATTCAGAGCTAGTTCCATGATGGACGACACACACACACCACTTTTGCAGTGCTTACATTCAGTAACACCATGGTAGAATCGGTAAACCAAGTTTCTTGAGAGACATTCTGCTGCGACTGCTTGGTGTTCCAAGATTTGATTGCCGAAGGCTTTCTCTCGCCGGACACCATGGCTCTCTGCATCGAAACCCTAACCAGCCAAGACGTCGCAGCTTTGCGAAAAATCAGAGTTGTTCACTCCAAGTATTGACACTCAACTTTTGAGTAAACAATGACCACAAATCTCACACATTGCAAAAACAAAATTGGAGAAATTAGGTTATCCAAATGCAAATTATATCATTATTGTCTTCAAAAATTATTCAATGGTCATCAACCAATGTATTGTTTCTCAAATAACTCAAGCCTCGAATAAAATAGAAATTTTTTGAAATTTTAAGTTTTTGACACTAAATTTATCAATATACAATGACCATTTGTCTTAACAAATATGAAGTTAGTAAACTCCACATAAAGAGAAGGTTAGGGTTCATTCATTCAAGTACAACCCCTATTTTCCTTTGCTTGTTCAGATTGGACAGTTCTCGGTTTCTCGAGGTGGAAGGGTGGGTCTAGCTAGCGAAATTGACTCATTCATTTTCAGTACAAATGCTGAAGCTAAGAAGAACAAATACTGAAAATTACTTTCAGTATAAATATCATTCTTTCAGTGATTGCTTCCTCTAATATCTGTTCATAACTTATCCAATGGAAAGAAAAGCCTTAATGATGGTCACACACATCATTAAGGCTTAGAAAACTCCACATAAAGAGAATGCTAGGGTTCCTTCAAGTACAATCCTTATTTTCCTTATTTACTTTTAGTATAAATGTTCATGTTTAGAAGCCTGATATTGAAAAACTATCATTGTAAAAGTTTTGATACCAGAGCATCCCTTGCTAAGCCACATCCATGAACGCTAAAAGCCCTTAAATGGCATAACAAGTGTCTATTAGGAACTCTTTTTTGTCTGTCTCCCTCTAAGCAATATACAAGTTAAGGTTTAGGGTTCAGATTATGTCATTTGTTCAGTACTTACTGGTTCCTTTCCATTTGTTTTAGACATTTCAATCTTGGAGGCTGTTTTGAATATAGGGATTCTATTTTTTTTCTTCTATTTTGTTTTTTGTTGGGTTAGTATTGGAGATAGATCTTCTTGCTTGGAGCTAATTGACTATCTGGAAAGTGTCGTTGGCTTTTTGAACTTTACTTACGGTTGGAGGGTTGTTCCATGTCTGAATTTATATGCAGATTCCACCATCTCCCACTACTGGGACATTCCCTTGTCAATCCTTCCATTGGAGAGGCAATTCTAACATCCACCAGCTGGGTAACAAGCAAGAAGAGAAAAGAAATTCACTCTGATTTCTCTTTCCACCCCCAAACAAGAATCCCCACATCATCCATGTCAAACTTTCAATCTCAAAACAACACAATTCCAACAGTATGTCTCGAATTTGTACTTTTTAAGTTTAATCCTTCTTTTTTTTTTTTTTGTGTTTTTGGTCCAGTCATAATATGCATTGACACACTTGAAATTTATACATAATTTTCAGGAGCAATAAAGGGACACAGGGATCCGGCAAGCAAGATGGTCTGTCTTCACAAAAGATTGTGGTAAGATCTGAAATGAGAGAGCAGAGAAAATCAGCTGATGGGTACAATTGGAGGGAAGGGAGCGACCTTCGAAGTTATTACAAGGGTACAAATCCCAATTGTCCAATGAAGAATAAACTTGATTGTTTACCAGGGTGATCATAACCATCCCAAGCCTCAATCAGCTAGGAGATCTTCATCAGCTTCCTCTAATCAAAGCTCTCGTAAGAGTAAATCTGTTGGAGAATATTTTGATGAAAGATGAACCCAAGGCCAAAAGATGGTAAGTTTGATTTTGGTATTGTGTAAATTACTCATTTGACTAGTAAGAGTTTTAATTTATATATGTTCCATTTCATGTGTTGGGAAAAGAGAACAAAAATGAGAACAAAAATGAATATCGTGGAGTGGTCTTCGGGTTTGGTAAAGTGACCACTGATGATGAGAGGGAGTCTCGTGGAGTGGTACACGGGAAAGAACTCTGGACAGAAGTTTATGTAGATGATTTCGATAAATTTGTTTTTTAACCCGAAAAGAGCACAATTTTAAATGGAAGTGTACGTAAACGTAGAGAAGGAGAGTGCCATGGCCTCCAGACAAGAATAAAAATTTGGGTTTTCTGAATGAAAAGTGTTCTGCTTATCTAAGACCACATTCTCACTCGTGGCAAATGCAGGAGGATTAAATTTGGGATACCTGGAACAAGTCTGTCTGGAGATGAAATGATTAAATCTTCGGATTAACCCTACTATCACTACAATTGACCAGTGGTTGAGACATACTATGATTTTATTCAAGTGTTGAAGATAGAGTCATTGCATGATGTAATATGGTAGTGACCTGTTTGAATTGTAGAAAAAGGATATGCAAAAATCGTCTCTCAAAAGAATTACAATTTTAAGTTTTTGACACTAAATTTATCAATATATACAATGACACTTTTGTCTTAAAAGGGATGAAATTGGTAAAACTCTACATAACGAGAAGGCTAAGTACATTCCTAATTTTCCTGTGCTTCTTCAAATAAGACGGTTCATTTTAAATATAAATGTTGAAGGTTGATCGAAAATATTAATTACGTGTGCTCCGTGATAAATTATGTTGTGCTCAAAAAAGGAGCTGTTTGTTGTGTTTTGGTATTTGATATACCAACTTGGAGTTATATATAGTCCGTTCTTAATCTCAAAACTGCAATAAGTCCACTTTCCTAAGTCTTTACATATTTCAAATAGAAAATTTCTTTCTTTCTTAATTTTTTTTGGTAGGTCCTTAATCTTTTAAGTGTGAGCGGGCCTAATGAAAGCCCGGTATTTATTCAGAAAAAATTTGCAAACAACTATATTATCACACTGTAAAAATGAGCGCATCCTAGTTATTCTGCTTTACTCAATTTGAACTGCACCGAATCTGAATTGGAGGTTGTTGGTCCATAATACAATCAGTTATGAAAGAGAACGAATAAATGTTAAGAAGGAAAAACAGAGAGCTAATTCAAGCTAAAATAATAACTTAAACACCTGCAGCTCAATCCCAAAAGAAAGGGTGAGGTAATAGCTATCGTAACAGGCTGATTATATTGAAAATACGTTAAAAACCACTAATACAACTTGGAATAACCCTTTTATAAGACACAAGGGATGCCCTAGTAAAGGAATTAATCCTAATCCTTCATCTAATTTATTCAGCAAAATAAAGACGCTAAAATGACAAAACAGTCATTAAGTGGTTACCTGACTCACTTAAAAAGGTTCATGACTTATAAAATAAAAATAAAAAAGACGATAATATCCTAAACATGAAATAAAAACAGACTTAAGACTTATATAAATTACTCTAGACCAATTAACAATCACATAATTTGATCACATCATCGGCTACACTTAAAACTGGATATTCAGCCTAGTCTTTTTAGGATCTTTAAATGTTTGAAGAAAGTCCTCTTCCATTTGCGATGCAACAATCCATTTCTTAAATGAAGTCGGGTAGGTCCAATTTACAAATAAAATAGTTTTTCTACTTAACTCAATTTGAACTACACCGGATCTAAATTGGAGGTTGTTGACCCATTTCTTAAATGAAGTCGGGTTGGTCCAATTTACAAATAAAATAGGAAATATAAAAAATTAATACAAATAAAAAAAAATTATTTCAATGTGATATTTAATCAAATCAAAGGGGTGTCACTAAAATTAATGCAAATAATTTTTCTGCTTGACTCAATTTGAATCTAAAGTGAATCTAAATTGGAGGTTGTCCATGCATTTTTTAATGAAGTCAGGCTGGTCCATTTTACAAATAAAATAGAAAATAAAAATAAGTAACTAATTTGTCAATTATGGTGAGCGTAGGTTCCATATACATATAAAATAGTTGGGCCGGGCCCAAAAAGCTTAGACCAACTGATGAAACTGCTTACCCAACCATCTCTCTCCACTCAATAAATTAGACCCATGCTTGCTTTCCAATCTATTGGCCTAAACTGATGGCTGTGACATGGGCAAATAATGACTAGTTTCTTTCTCTCTCCGGACTCCAAGGCTCTTTAGTCTCCTCCTTGCATCGAAACCCTAACCGGCGAAGACGTAATTGACTCCATCGGAATCTTCCCTGCCGCCGTTCCTTTTCGTTCATCACCAACCATAACACCTTCGATTTCGAGTTTGCCGGCAATGTCGGTCGGTTCTTCGTGGTGGGTTTCCTGTAAATGCTTTTGTGGAGTAGTAGCTTTTGACACTGGTAGTAGTTGGTCTTTCTGGCTAGACATAGTATTAGCTTATTTTTAGTTAACAATGGCATAAACACAGCTATTACCTTTTTTTTTTTTTTTTTTTTTTAACCCTGGCAATAAGAAAAATAGCCATATCATGCCATAAATGGCCATACAGGGAAACAAATCATGAAGTAACAAAAGAAAAAAAATGAAGAACATATTCTAGATTTGTTGAGAAACAAGTCAACACGCAACAGTGAAAATCACCAAATGGAGAAGAGTAATATCGAGAGTGACCCAAAGGTCAGGGTATCATCAAGGCAACAACTTCAAGGTTGCATCCATTAGGCGCCGCCGACTGGGGAAAAATCACCCAACCACGCACAAGCAGGCGGAAATAACAAAACTCGACATAGATCAGAAATTTAGCCACAGACAAAACAACAGATCCACCCGTCGAGCCAGAAAACCAACCAAACAAGAACAGATCTAGCAAAACAACATCAAAACGGCATGAAACCACCCACCGAGCAAACACAGCTATTACTTAAATAAGACAAAAATAAGAACTTGCTGAATTTTGGGATGTTATGGTCTAATTGTTATTTTTGCTGAATTTTGGGATGTTATGGTCTAATTGTTATTTTCGTTTCTGAAAAAGAAAAAAATATAATATAATAAAATAAAATTGGTCTAATTTTTATCAAGATTGATGAGTACCATGGAGTTTTGTTTTTTAATTTCCTGAAATATTACTGTTTGATAGGGTTGCAAATGAACTGAGTCGTTCATGAACAGTTCGGGCTCGGCTCGTTAAGAGCTCGGCTCAAGCCCGTTCGTTAACTAAATAAGCCGAGCTTGAGCTCATTTTTTAGACTCGTTTACAACAAGCCGAGCTTGAGCAATGGTAAGCTTGGCTAGTGAAGCTCATGAACAAACTCATTTACATAAAATTAATTATATATGTAAAAGCTTAGCCCATCCACGCAAGTGTAGCCCATATTACATATCTTTCATGCACCCAATTCTTATTATAATAAACTTCTTCTTCTTCATTTTTTTTTTTTTTTTTTTTTTTTGGTTCAGATTAGAAGCACATTTTATTAACAAAATAGCCCAACCCAACTCATGATTTAATCTTAGCCATTGAATAAATTTTTTACATCAAGACTTAAACAAGATAGAAACCCTAAACTGATAGGCGAGGCAAAATTTCCTTGTGCTGGCAACCACTCGGCAACAAAATCACAGAACTCCATAGGCAACAGCAAGGCTAGTTCTCTCTTGTCTCCTCCACTCTCAACTCTGGTAATATTGTGATGGAACTAGAGATCGATGGTTATGGAATTCAAAACTGACAAATGTTTTCTCTTTTCCTTTCTTCACTCTGATAATGCATGAGAGATTCAAACCGTCTTGAAATATACACATACGATCCGAGCTTGAGCTTGGCTTGGCCAAGCCCAACCGAGCCTTAGCCGAGCTAAGCCCTTCTCTAAACAAGGCGAGTCGAGCCAAGCTTGAGCAAGTTAAAGTTCGGCTAGTCTCATTTACAGCCCTACTGTTTGATGTTAAATTATTGAGGGTGGGGATTGTAATACTCCACCCCACATTTGCTATTTGGAGAGCCCAATTTTGAACATCCATAAGAGATGTCCTTAGCAATCAAGAAACTAGCCCATGTTTGTGCATGTTCCTCTTGACAACTTAGTGGAGCTTGGTTAGGGGGATAGGAAAGCCACAAAGGTTGCCTCGGTCAAGGCGAGAATGGTTAGAAAATGTGAGAGGCTCGGTATGCGTGAAGTTTATAAAAAAAAGGAGAACATGATTTTGAACGATCTTTTTCCTGGTTGAATACGTGCGTAATGATAGCCAGGGACAGGAACAGTGGTCGACAAGTCAAGATCAGGATAAAGTTCGGGGAAATATGCGTATTCCCAAAGTTGTAACAGCCAAAATGGCCCAAAACAGGTTTTGAAATTGGAAGCTACATACTCCCCGATACCACGATAAAGATAGGAAAGCAAGAAAGGAACAAGGGCAAGTTTCTCGCCTGAATGAAGGGCAAGAGCCAATTGAGTAAATTCCTTGGTGACTGTGAGCGAAGAGACGCAAAATAGAAACCTATTCAGCCAGTACACCAGGAAAGAAATATGCTCAGCGGTAGAGACCGAAACTCCATCACCCTTGTTGGTTTTGATAAAAGGTCCTTATGCAGTGATACGCTCAGAATTCTCAAGTTTCTTTGGATATTCGTAGGGCACTCTAGAGATAGTAGGAGACGGATTTATTTCCTTGCCATGAGGCCTAAGCCCGGTAAAAAAGCAAATGTTCTGCACCGTCGGACCAATCATTCTGCACCAAAGATGAAAGGCATTGGTCGAGCTCGACCAAAAGAAGAGTAATGAGGTAAGAGCCTCTTCATCGATAAAGATTCGGTATTTCGAAAGAAGGATGGCATTATAAATGCCGACCTCCTTCCATAGTGCTTTATAGTGAGGTTCAACCCGATTGACTCAATCAGTCTAATAACTTTGAGGGTTCGGACAATTTTTGAAGAGATTGGTGAAGTCCATGGGATTAGAGAACTTGCGTTGAAATGGGAGTTGCTTCTCGGCTAAAGGAGAGCAGGGAAGAAATGAAGCT